CAGCGCATTAATATAGAACGGTAATTAAAATCTCTAATGCACACACCAGCACACCAGTATAGGTGTGTGTATTGTAGGAGCTAGACGAGGTATGATGACGTGTGACGGCATAGTAGTGGTGTCCCAATTCTTAGGGGAATATTTTCACCCCTACCCCTTGAGGGAAGGGGGAGGGGTATAAAATAGAATTGGGATTGGGCCTAAGAGTCTCATGCTCTACCGACTGCGCTAGCCGGGCTGGCGGTATATGATAGCGCTTCAGTGAAAATGCATTTACAGCATGCATGTTTTTGTTTGTTTACTTTGGAGAACACAGTGTCTGAGTAAATGAAAAGGGGAAGAGGTTTATGACCTGGGAATGAAGTGTGTTATGTATTGGAAATAGGAAATACATAATGTGTCTTTCCAGCAGGGTCTTGGTTTTGGACGTCACACGGGGTTTAATTGGTGTGGTTTTGGATCTTTTCTTAATGCGAAGCTGTGACTCAGAGCTTCCAGAAGTGTTAGAGTGAGCTACCGAGCTCAGCTTTTCTTCCCCAAGGTTGTATTTTCCCATAATTCCTGCATTCTTTAGCCTCACCGAGTTCCTCAACAAACGATCCATCATTCTCTATGCTTATTTTCTTTTGCACCTCAGTGAGAGCGAGTCAGATAAACATTTACCAGACTTATTCTGACACTTTTCAGTCGTGAAGTGTAAATATTGACAGGATTTCGAAATGCGTCCTCCGCTTCTGTCTTTGTTGCTGTGGGAGGGACTGTCAATATGCAGGACTGTGATGCAAATGAAGACAAATTTCTTTCTGTTTTTGAATGTTTTAGAAAACTACAGAGAGACCAGTTTTGAAAGAACTCCTTTTATACATCTGTATTGCAAAAAGAAGCCACATGCAAAGGATGCTCTGTCAATGAGAAATAGAGGCATATTTGAGGCTAACCTCCCCTGACTCTAAATGCTTTGAGTAAATTAGATTAAAACTGAGAGCAAGTGAGCTACAGGGCTGGTAATAATCAGAAGAGCTCAGTTAGAGGTCTGTTCCACCTCCTCCACTCACTGTGACGCAACAAGGGACGTCACTTCACCCCAGGCAATTGCAAAACTTAATTTGATTGGCAAATGTTCTGATTGGTGTCAGACTCAATCCATAATTAGACAATTCCAGATGTGAATCTGTTTATCTAATCCTGACTAAGGTGTCTGGTATGTAAACAGCAGAAATCCTGCTATTGAAAACAGACTCTGGCTTTGAAAGAATACTGGGGGGGAAATGTGTGTATAGATAGATAGATAGATAGATAAAGATTACATTTTCTAAGAACACTATTTATTATGAAAAGTGATAAACACTTAATTTAAAAAATATTTGTCTTGTATTTTAATAATAGTTTTAATTTAATTTTTGTTAACAATTCGGAAAAATTATATCAGAAACAATACATTATCTTACAATTTATTTCACTCAGATATACAGTAGGCCTACATCAAAATCGATGCCTTACCATTTTAGAAAGGGGGTCCATTTTATCATATTTTGGTGGTCTTTGTCGCTAAAAAGTTTAAAAACACGATTTTCAATGTTACTTTCAATGTTATTTACTTTTGAGCCAGGCTGAAATCTGATTTCTCATTGTCTACAGCATCATGATTGATGAACGCTGGAAGTTTTGTGCTGTCATTGGTGATGTGGAGAGGTCAGAAAACTGAATAAGATTATGCTCAGTCTTGTGCAAGAGAAAAAATAGATTTCCATTGATTTCAGTCAGAGTTGCACAAATTATTACTCAACAGGCAAATCCTACAGAGGGTTGTACAAATATCTTGGAAAAAGTTCATATAAACTTGGTTGATTCTATAATCTACATTTCATATGTGGTTTCTTCTCCTCAAGTTGTTCATTGCATTGGGGTTTCTCTCAGGTAACTTTCTCTGAGAAGGTGGTAGACAAAGAAAATGGAGGGGGTGGGGTTAAATCGCCCCTTTCACTTACTTTTAAAGTGTTTGCTATAACAAACAGGGTAGCCTAAATTTCGAGATTACCAGTGTTCATAGTAACACATCATTGAAACTAAAAGCTTACTTTACTTACTTACTTTCAACAGCGAGTTGCATCTTCTGTGATACAGCTGTACTTCCCGCCCGTTTGTATTTGAGTATGTAAGAGCACCACCCCTTTAGGTTGGGTTTGGAGCGTTTGCGTTATTCTCATTGACCTCAGGAGAGGAGGAAAGTGAAGCGTTTATCTTACAGTGAAACGCACGCGGGTCATAGCTTTCGGCGTCAAACACTAATTGACTGCAGAGCTCCGCTGGTCCTTTGAGGTACTCGCTCAATGGGACTTCCTGAAAGGTTTGTTTTCCTTTCTTATTTATCGTTTTCCTCAGCAAATTGATTAGATATGTGGTTTAGACTTTTACATTGCAAGTCAAGGACGCGAACGTTTCTATTACAATCATCGAAGCCGCCTAACAGCGTCGTTCATTATAACAGTAATGTTCTTATTTTGTTGTATCACGTCATAGTGTCACTTAATTTTTAATAATAAAACTTTTTGAATCTGCTTGAGCGAGCCGACTAGTTTTTATCTTTCTTTTTTCTTAATTTCATAATTTTAAAATTTAAATGTCAATATTTAACATGGTACTTTATTGACGTGAATTGACGTCATATAAGGCTATAGGGAAACCACTTTTTGCGCTGTCTAACTTTTATACAATATTCCACATTTGTACCGTAGTACTACAAATTACACGTCGTTTAGAAATCCACAGCTTATCTCTGTATGTAAATGATTGTCAAGTACAAAGACTCCTGTTGCTACAACTTATTACACTTGTTAGTCAGGGTGGACTGTATCAATAATATAATAAAATATAATAAATATTTTAAAATATAATAATGTTTTGGTTGATTTAGATTTATTGTGGTAATCTAATTAAATTGGTAATCTAATTTTTAATTTAAAATGATAAACATTATTTTTCAATAATAAATTGGTTTTAATGCATGCATATATTATAATTTAACTTTCCTCAAATTGTTTTAGAGTATCATATGGTTGACTGAAGTATGTGATTGTTGTTTTCTTAGTGTTTGCACGTCAGCACATGAACTGTGACCATCATGTTTCCTGAGCAAAAGGCCAGATAATGGTTTTCTTCTTAATTATCAAATAACAGTTACCTAATATCCATGCTATGATCTTAACTGTTTCTCCCCTGTAATTTATAGCGCTAAATAGATATATTAAATGTTTTATTTGTACCAGAAGACTGTTTCCTTGTGGTGCTGGGTTAATCCAATAATTTGAACAGGGAACTGTTCATAAAGTAACATGCACATTTGATTATGTGATCAAAGCACTCTTATTTTTAATCCAAGCCTGACTTTAGAAGAGAGCGTTCATAAGATGCAGCAGCTGTGTTTGTGGATTCATTTGTGGGGCAGAAGGGCAGGAAAAGACTTGCAATAAACTACTAGTGTAAACTCTTTTTATGAAAGTCTTGGAAACATTTTTATGAACCTACACAAATGTATTCTGCATGGAAGTACATGAAACAGAATCGGAATACAGTCACCTTGGGTGCCAAGCTTAGATGTGCACATCTTTGTTCTTTTGAAAGTGTATTTATTTAGCATTTGGAGCACAGCTGTGTAGACTAAACACACACACACGTGTGCCTGTTTATGTTTCTTTTTCGTGAGTGTTTCTCTGGATGTGTTATGCCTATGGAAGTGTGTTGACTGACTCAGGGTTTTATTTTCCTGCACATTGAGTCCATCTGGTGTTATGAAATCAGCGCATCCCGCAGCTCAAGCTGTATTTGTCTGTTCTGTGACGCATTAAAGGGAAGTCCAGAGAAAGCTTTGAAGAAATGTTCTGCCAGTGTACCAAAGCCGGGAATGTGTGAGACAAATTTAGGAGACTGAAATTTAGGAGACTTGAGTGTCAAGGGTTTGGCATGTTAATGACACGCATGACTGGACGTTCAGTGAGCTCTTCATTGTTGTAGCATGTGGTTCCATCAGTGACTAAAAATTGCTGGAAAAACATATGTACTGTAAGAAAATCTACCTAATTTAACAAGTAATTTCAGCCCATTTTTTGAAAATCTTGTATTGTTTAACTCAAAAAATGAAGTTGGTTAAATAATTTAGATGAGTTTCTTTCATGAGGCTTCTGTAAAGATGCTCATGCATTGAAAACCAGTGATAATTTACAGACAGTTCCCATTCAAAATTCTTGTTTTGATGGAATTGTTTTCACTCACACCAGCTCCTAGATCCTCACATTGAAAAGACCACAGAGGCAGATATTTTGGGGTTTCACTGAGGAGGAAAAAGAGGTCCTACATATTTTCCATGAGCTGTTATTCCGCTTTCTATGACTTTTTTTCCGGGCTTGCATCCATCTGCCATTCTGTAGTCTCTGATTTCAGATTAGTGGAAAGAGCAGACCCAGACCCTCAGGATGTAGTACTCTGCTAAGAGACAATAAGGAAAAACTGATGTATAAATCAGTTTTTATGGTGAAACAAGCTTTTCTTATTCAGAATTTGCAGCCCTGCGGACTGACAACCGGAATAATTGAATAATGAGGTTGAAAGATTCGTTTAAAGTGAAACATCTAGGGTTCAGTGTTGTTTAGAAGATTTCAGTGTTATTTCACATTTTCAATGAACTATGGACTTGAGTGACGTGAACACTAATCTGGTCCTTCTCAGATTGATCCATGTGTGTGTTTATTTTCCTCTCTGCAGGTTACACACTCTGTCTGGGTAAGTCCTATATCTTTCGCTTTAACCATCCCGAGGAGGCCAACCGTATGAAAAGCATGCTGCCTCAGAAGAGTCCGGTCACTCCGCTGGTCTACAGCACAGGTAACCTTTCCTCTTTAACGTCACTATAATATTCCCTTCATTCTCTTCATCTTTCTTCTTTAACTATCCATCTTATGCACCCAAACCCCCTCAAAAACTGAAACCACTAATCTTTTGTACACACACACACACAGCCTGTATCCAATATCACAACATGCCAGCTCCACCTCCATGGAGGATCTTCTCTGTATGTGTGTGAGTAATACATGGTTTCAGTTATCTGTCACAGCTCTTTTGCAGTCTGAAATAGAATCCTCTAAACCTTTGATGTAGCAGAATTCTTTTAAGAGTACTTAATGTCTACTTTACAGACAAGGCATCTTTACACAGCCGAGTTAAGTCTGCTTGGAGTATGGAGATAGAATTGTTGCTTAATTCCAAATAAATGGATTATGATCCACAAATAAATGTAATGAAATTAACAAAAATTAAACATATTGACAAATAAATAGAATGAGATCTACAAATAAATCTTGAAGTTTCACAAACATGAATTAAATTCACAAATAAATAAAATTAAATTTGCAAATAAAAAACATATTCACAAATATATATTTATGTCACAACCACAACTTTGCCTGGCATTTATTTGTGAATCGCCTCCTGTGCATTTGTAGATAGCTACACGCATTTGTGAATCGCGTCCTGTGCATTTGCGAATTGTGAAACATTTCTTGCGTCAAGACGTGCTGACAATCCACAAATACGTGGACTCCACCCACCGTCTACTCAAGCCAATCAGATAACAGCCACATTTCGCTGACCAATCGTAGCATGATCTCGCTATAGCCAATCACGTTTTGCTTTACAATCAGGGCGGTCTCGTCCTGAGATAACTTCATTCATCTGCATTGGCTCAAATAGGTAATATAAGGGCCATAAAATGGGTACAGTAAAAGATGTTTAAAATTGGAATGCACAGGATTCACAAATAATTGCCAGGCAAAGTTGTGGTTGTGATATATATTTGTGAATATATTTTTTATTAGCAAATCTCATTTTATTTATTTGTGAAGTTAATTGATGTTTGTGAAACTTTAAGATTTATTTGTGGATGTCATTCTATTTATTTGTCAATATGTTTAATGTTTGTTAATCTCTTTACATTTATTTATTTCGTAATCTATTTATTTGGAATTAAGCAACAATTATATCTCCATATTGGAGCAATCTCTGCTTCAATTTCTGTATAAAAAATGCCACTTAAAAGCCATTGTAAAATATGGCAGCTCTGACCCATTAGCTAAAGTTAATTTTTATTCACATTTTTATGGTATGCAACTTCAGTGCCACAAATAAAGCAATATGAAGATGACATTAATGAATAACCTTTATTTGATTTTTTTAATTAAGTGAATTACAATTGCTGGACTAACTCCAACTCAAACCCTAAAAAAAAGAAGAATTTAACTGTATATATCTATATGAATGACTTTTACAGTTGAGTACATCCCCAAGGGTAGTTTTGCCAGAGTATATCTAAGCAAACCCACACACACTCAGGGAGCCAGTCTGTCTCATGGAATGTGTGATCTGTACACAGATGTGGTTTGGATTCTCCCCGTTGATTGATTGAACATTTTGAGTGAGGTGTAGAGAGTGACATAAATCATTGCCACCTCCTCTCAGTCTTTCCCTCACTCACACTGTGTTGCTAGACAGCAGGAATGAATCTTCACTTAAACAAATGTGCACCCACTCACTCAAAGTGCATTGTGCATAGCAAACCTGGGAAAAACAAACACTCTGGGCCTTACTGTGCACGGTATACTGGTATAAGTTAAACTTTAACCCTTATGTTGCTGTCTAGTTTGTTTACAGGGTATAAACTTACCAGTGTGGTATATACACCAGCATGCATTGGTTTCTTTCAGTAGCTATAAAAAGTGAAGCTTGTCACTACATGGTTAGCCAGAACCTCCCCATGTATGGTTAAAGTTTGTGTGATCTTGCATGCCTTTCATCCTACCCTGTCATCCTTGTGATATAGCTTTCAGTTTCTGCTCTATTTCCTTCGTTACCTTCACGTGAGAGATTCCTCCATGATTTAAGTTCTGCTCCAGCCTAATGTATGCACACATGCACCTTAAAGAGATAAAGGGATTTTTCTTGGCATGTGCAGGCTTATGTGTTTTATGAACATTCACGTCAGTCATCTGAAGTGGGATTTCTTTGATCTTCGCTGTCTTGGCACGTGGCGGAGTGAAGCTTACGTCTTGTCCAGAAAGCAGAAGAGAAAAGTGTGTCTGTAAAGTAGGGAGATGGAAGAGCAGACATAGAAGCCAAATTAAACATGGATGTCTTTTGTCCAAACTCTTCCTAGCCTGGATCATCTACAGTTATTTTAAAAGTTAAACAAATTAAGTTAATTAAGGAAGTTTTTGTATTCCTGGTTCACCTCATTGTGCAGTGTTTTGTGTAGAGTAGACTTTGGTCAGTTTCTGTTTCTAGAACATTCTGGACTTTGGTCAGTTTCTGTTTTTAGAAAACGTCTTAACTGACTAGGTTTGTGTTAGTTTAAGCTGTAACGCCACATTGAATTCTTGGAAAGCAAGATAGACAGGCCTAATTTATTGGCCCCTGAGAGAAAACTGATGATCTTTTGGTTCAAGGTTTTTGCAGGTCAAACGAGTCTTGGGTATAGCAGTCCGAGCTCCCCATACTCCTGCAAACAATTAAAGCAATTCCAGGAGTTTTCAAGGACCAAGCAGACAGTTATATAACTCCTCGTAACCACTTTTTCATGTTTGTAATAGTCTGACCTTTTTTCAAAAACGAAGTTGCTCGTAATAAACTCTCATTTATTCTTCTGAAGAACCTTTCTTGTGTTTATTTTTAGATTATCTGAAGTTCAGCAGCGACTTCAGTCATTGTCTAGGTGGCTCTGGCTCTAGAGGGATGCGCTCCGTCTCTGAACTGCGGGATTTGATGGACACTTTACAAAAAAAGAAGCAGGCATTGGAGAATAGTTTGCGAGCCAATGGGGACTCAAGCCCCTCCTACTTTAGCATGACGCAGTCTCCTCCCACCACACCCAATCTGCTGTCACCCATCACCACGTCCTCCCCAATATCCTATCAAGAACAAACCCACCGATTGTACAGCTCTGAAAGGCCACCACTTGCTGCCAAAGTACCAGCACATTCATCCAGCAGCATGCCTCCATCTCCTCGTCGTTCTGACCCTCGAGAGCGTGACGCATCACTTCCTTATTCTCGACCCATGACCCAGAACCAATCTCAGGATAGTCTCCTCCTCAATACACCAGACAGTCGTCGTGCTGGGACTTCAGGTTCAGCCCTCTCAATGTGGAACGGTTCATCCACCGGTGTGACCGATTCCCTCCCGCCAACGCCAGTGGGCGGTAGTGGTGCAGCCAGCATGCCTTCTAGTCCTCGTCTGTCTCGTAGATTCCACACTCCAGATGCAGGCCGCAATGGAGGACTCGAACCCACTCCACGGCAAAGAAAGTACTCCACTGGGTCACTTACAGGCATGAGCTCGCACAGTCGCTCCCTACCACGCCTCTATCGACCTACCGACACTCAACTCACCCTCCCACCAAGCTATCGGTCTCCTGATGGCCAGCTTTCTCGCCCAACTGGCTCCAACCACCAGAATGGTCATTCTGAATTAGTCTCTATCTCGCTGTCCAATAAACCTGGAACCAAACACACCGTAGCCCCACCAGATGTCACCATGACATCGGGAGAAGCCACCAGCCCCCGCCAGGCCAAGAAGGTGAGTTTGACATCCACCAGCTGCTACTCGGAAGTGGACAGGCAAGCCATGCGTGGTCCCACACCAGCTCTGGAGATTGGTCTCGGGGAGAGAAGGCAGTCGTTCGGAAAGGCAGGCCTGGGTCCGCCGAGTGGCTTCAGGGAGAGAAAGGGCAGCATCAGCTCTCTCAGTGGAAAGGAGGAGCTTCAAGACTACCATCAGAGACAGAGGGATGAAAGACTGCGGGAACAGGAAGTGGAGAGACTGGTAAGAGACTTTTATCACTTAAAGGGAAAAAATGAAAATTCTGTCATTAATTACTCACCCTCATGTCATTCCAAACCCGTAAGATCTTTGTTCATCTTCGGAATACAAATTAAGAAATTTTTGATGAAATGCAAGCGCATTCTCTCCATAGACAGCAAGAGAGCTACCATGTTCAAGGCCCAGAAAGGTATTAAGGACATAATTAAAATAGTCCATGTGACATCAGGACTAATTTTAATTTTATGAAGCTACGAGAACTAAAATAGCAACTTTATTCAACAATTTTCTTCCATTCATGGGAGTGTTCTCATCAGGGGTGTTTAGTGTTTTGGGGGCCCTCAGCTAGTGGTCCCGGAGGGGCCCCCCTCGGTGGATTTTGCGATCGATTCCGAGGTAGGGATGGGTATCATTTACATTTTATCGATACCGATAAGATACTGCTTATCGATACAGTTATCTATACTACTCTCTATAATTTGGTGCAAAAATAAATGATGTAAAAGGATGTTGAAAATTTCAAGTGATTTTATTACTGCAGTTTACAAATGCCTCCAAGCAAACAGAAAAAGGCACATAAAGCACATTTTTTAAATAAAAAGGCCCTTTAAAGAGAGGGAGAGAGAAAGAGATTTCCTCAGCATACCATAGCACAACATATTGGAACATCATGTGCATAGGAGCACAACAGAATGTAATAGAGAATTCTGGCATCTCTAGCTATTTTTATTTAAGAAAATTTATATATTGACTTTCTCAGGGAGCGGGCGTGATTTCTTCTAAAAGAGAGTGTCCCTCTCTGTTTTAGAGGGACTTTTTTATCTCCGTTTTTATCTACATGATAAAAAAAGGCTTCTTTTTAACATGTAGAATTATTTATAGTGATACTCCAGTCAGGATTTTTACAGACATTCATTCAGGGCCTGAGTTTCATTTTTGAAAATGGGGTGAGTTCCCCTCTTAGGTGACTCTTGTGGGAGGGAGGATTTTTTTTTATTTGAGTGGTGGAGAGGGGAATTTTTTGACTCTGTTTTTTCAAAAATATGTAATTAAATGTTTGATCATGCTGTGCATTTTTGTTTTTACAATGGGGCAATTGTTGAGTGTGCTCTCTCTGGAGAGCGCACGAGTGCTGAATGGTTTAAATACTGGCCAAACTTAAAAAAGAAATGCAAATTATAAACTTTAGTGACGATGCGTGTAAACTGTGACAATTCCTGTGTCAACCGTGCAGTGTGCAGCTCGCTTATAGTGCAGAGCTCGTGAAGAACTTGTGCTGTTTGTAAAATTACACCTCACAGAAAGTTTTCAAATTATTTTGTAAGTTATTTAATGAAGAAATATGAATTCTACCTTACCTTCAGAATTACAATTATTTTACCCGTGCCGGACAGAGATTGAGACAGTGCCGCTGCATTTCATGCCAAACCTCTTACAGCAGGCGCGTCATTAGCTTGAGATCGGTTTATGAGAACAGTGTCTAATTCGCCATTAACACAGAGGTACGGAGATAAAACAACACATGTATCGATAACAGTATTGTTTGTCCTGAAGCTTATCAGTAGTCCGGTATTGACCCAATTACGCACCGGTCCAAAAAAATGCTGGTTCTCGACTCCCATCGGAAGAAATCGCGTTCCGCGGGGGCCTCCCTGGACCGCGGGGCCCCACGCAATAGCGTGGTGCCTAAACATGCTACTGGTTCTCATGAATCGCGGCGGACTGACCCGGAAGAGAAGAAATCGTTGAAAAAAGTTTACTTTGCACTAAAAAATTATTCTCGTAGCTTCATAAAATTACGGTTGAACCATTGATGTCACATGGACTATTTTAACGATGTCCTTACTACGTTTCTGTGCCTTGAACGTGGTAGTTGCGTTGCTTGTCTATGCAGGGTCAGAAAGCTCTCGGATTCCATCAAAAATATCTTAATTTGTGTTCTGAAGATGAATAAAGGTCTTACGGGTTTGGAACGACATGAGGGTGAGTAATTAATAACAGAATGTTCTGTTTAATGTTGTTGATGTATTGCTTTAAAGTCAGCATGAAAATGTAATTAAGTAGTGACTAATACCTTTCATAATCTAATCAATTCCTAATGACTCCTAGTGATCCCACCCTACTTTTTTCACATCAAATCTCCTAGTTAACGCACAAATATGTCACATTTCATTTCACATTTTCAAGTAAAATGGGTTTTAAATTCTGTTTTATGTTGACTTTAACACAAAATATGCATATCATTATAGAAGTACTCAAACATCTGCATGTCCAATCATCTGTTTCATTTTTATTATAATTCTTTAGAAGCATATCATTCTTCTTAAGACTCACCTAATATAAAGAACAAATGACTTTGAAGATTGATTTCATCTAGAATATTTAACATTCCTCCTCCATGACCCTGTTTTCTTTTCTCATTGTGAAGGGGGGTATCACATTAAAAGCTTGTGATATTTCAACTCTTCTTGCAATATGGGATCTTGTGCGCTCAGATATGGGGGACCCCACCTGCAGCCTAATTAATCTTCCCGCCAAACTTGCGCTCTGGCATTCCTCTCGGTTATAACAAACACACCATGTGCAGGAAGGCCCCTGGTTCTCTGTAGTGGATGCGGTGGAAGACCCAAGCAGAGGTGTGGCTGCATAAACCTCCTATTAATAGACAGCTCGACAGCCCAGAACCACATCCACTTTCATTGAACCCGGCCTCTCGAATACACTCTCTCTGGGAGGCCACCCACAGCTGCAGATGATCCTGGAAAATTGCCCATGCTAACATGCCCCATTCTTGCTTCTCAGCTGCTCTCAATGGCGTTCAAATGAAAGGCAACAGCGTTTTTGCACGCTGTGGTTAAGGGAGGCCACCTGTGGCGCCGCCCTGCTGGGCAGAGGCCAAACCATCATCGTAGGCCGCCCACTCATTAGTTAGCACCAAAACTACAGGCTGGTGATCTTTACAAGGCCAGCACTGAGTGAAAACAAGGCCGCTACAGGTGGAGAATCGTATCCACACATAGACTTTCACTGGGTTTCTTTAAAAAAAAAAAAAACTCTCTCAGAGGAATGTAATATTACAGACTTTAGCCATGGTTGTACATGTCCAAAAAACACACACTCATTTCATGATGGCACAGTTGCGTAGCATGTGCTGTTTTGTTTTTTCTGTTTCAGAGCCCAATGAGGTCTAAAATATTGGGAGAAAACTATCCAATAGCATTTCCAAATGGCAGCAGCATTGGAAAAATCTATGTAAAAAATTAATTTCATGCATTTGAGATGTATTTACTGGTAATTTATACGTCGCTCGCAAATATATGAATTGCTTTGCCAATGACTTTGAATGGCTATCAGTGGACAGAGATGCTTTTTGTCTGCTTTTTTCCTCATGCAAGATCCTGTTCCAGTTCCCTATTAAATTTGCATTTACTTGTTCTAGCTGCAACTTTTCATTACCTGTTAGAGCTATGCTAAGCTAATAGTCTTAAGTTGCTAGCTTGCTAACCAAAGTTGACTTCTGTTCTATTAAGTGTTTTTAAAATTCAATTATGTAATAAACTTGAAGATTTTGAAAAGTTTCCTTAGCAGCTAAGTTTAAGTACTAAAATGGAACAGAAATTAAAAATAAATAAAAAAATATTCAAAGAGAAATGATAAAAATCACACGTATAAGAAAATTACTAAAATTGAAAAATGACTAAAATTAAATACAATTTAAATTTTTTTTTATAGATTTATTAATTTATTTAAATTATATAAAAAAATGAATTAATCTGAAAATAAAAGTTAGATCAAAATGTTAATAGCTATTATTTATTTATTTATTTATTTGACATGGACATCACAATAACATTGGATGAACCATATGCATTTGATATAAATAGCACTGGTTATATAATGTGAAAAGTGATTTAAATAGCATCATGTTTATTTTATTAAGAATAAATACACCGCAAAGCAATATCCTATCATTTGACAGAACAGTCCTTCACTGATACAGAGTTTATGTAAACTGATTAGGATTATAGGAGAAGATCTCGTGAAGTTTTACCCTTCGCTCTTGCATTGGGGCTGTTAGCGTGTCATGAATAAAAGCGGAAGGATTGAATCACGCTGCTCCTATTTGTATATCCTTTCCCATCCAGTGCCAGCAGTGTTTTTATTGGGTCTAATTTCACTCTCAGCCCAGTTTCTGAGAGCTCCCCCTCTCTCTCTCCTATTTGCAATCTCCCTTCCCACTGACAACCTTCCATCAGAGGGTTTGTGTTTCTGACACCGGCTTGGTTCGTTCATGTCTCTCTGTAATTTGTACTTGCTGTGCTAAGGAACATAACTAAACCTGTCATCTTTTTGATGAGGGCATGATCTTCTCCTGTGAGGTCACCATGTGTCCTCTGACCTCTGGATCCGTTGATATGGTGAGTAGAGCACTCTGAAGAATAGGGCCATGCGAATGCATAAAAATGCTGGGCTTGTTTTGCGGACCAGGTTTCGATTTACAAGGAAATATCTTCTTTATGGATTTAATAACTGTTAACATGCCGGTTTGTTCATTCGCAGCTATATGAACCAGTGAGATCATTTTTCTTGGCTCTGGAAATGCTCGCCTGAACTTGCTGTTTGCATTTCCATATCAGTCGATAAATACAGGGATTTTTTTCAGGCCAAGTGCACTCCTTCATGGCCCGGGTTGTTTTTAGATGTATATGCCTGGTTGTCTTCGTCTGGTCTTTCTCTGATCGCAGTTTGGAGCTGTCAAGGGTGCTTTTGGAATCAAAGATGTTTGTATATTGGACCTTTTTGGAGAAATAGCAGTAATGTTCTTCTTTAGGTTACCTATGGGCTATTAGTGTGAAATATCTGCAGTGGGTTTTCTCCAAATAACAAACATGTTCAGAACTGCTGCAGGTAAATCTGTTTGCATTTCAAAGGTGAGACAGGTTTCCAAATTTATCATTTCCTCCAGCTGTCTGATTGTGAGTTTTGATGCTGCAAGTGTCTGAATATGCATTTTTTTTTTCATACTGTCTCTGTCTGATCCATAGGAACGTCAGCGTCTGGAGACTATCCTTAATCTGTGTTCCGGGCTTGGCCGTGCAGAGCAGGACAAAACTGGCTTGGCCGTCGCAGACTTGCAGAAGATCAACAAGGAGCTGGAGAAATTACAGGTGTCAGATGATGAGTCCACGTTCTCAGACTCTGCAAGTCTGTCAGCCAGCATTTCTGCTGAAAACGACTATGGGCTTAAAGCCCAGGAGACCCAGGCCAGCGAGGAGAGACAGGTACGGCAGCGCAAGAATAGTGGACACAGAGAAGCCAAGGCGGAGAAAACAGCTGTCCTTGGCTCTGCTCCCACCCCTTCTCCTCGGCTGACACGGATAATAAAGGTAATTGGTAAAGCTTGTCTTAAGCCACTTAAGCTACTCTTAGAAGTGTATGAATGAGAGGAACTGACTTCATGCATCTACTAAAAATCACCATGGGACCATTTGGTTAACAATCATTGCATTTGCATTGCATCAAAACTTTTAAATTTTTTGGGCCACTGATTATATTTAAGATACTGTAATATTAAATAAAAATTGCTGAAATTGAAATGTACTCTAATTAAACTGTTTGATTAAAAATGTATATTATATTATATTATATTATGCTGGAATGGTAATACTCTTTTAAACTATTCATTTAATTAAAATGTACTTGTATATTATTATATTATGATTTTAATAAGTTTAATTTAATAAATAGTTTTAAAATAAATAAGTGTATTATAATTTCAGGAATTTATAATAATTGTAATTTTTTTTATTTAATATTTAAAAAAATAGTATATTTTGTTTCTTCCATGTTTTCATTATTATATTATACATTTCTGTAATTGTAATTTCTCCTTTTAAACTATTTATTTAATTTACAAATAAGTGATATATTATAATAATCTTCATTTTTAAATTGAAAAAATATTTTAAAGAGTATATTTCTTTGTCAGCATTTTTTATATTATAAGTATGTGCAATGGTAGTAATATACTTCTTTTCAACTGTTAAATTACAATTTAATTAGTCTAATATATATTAATATTTTCATTTGTAAAATTCAATAAATTGTTTAAAGTATACTTCCATGTCAGCATTTCCTTATATTATATTATAGTATAGTATAGTTGATTGTCTGCGCTTGTCAGATGACTTTCAGCTATACTTTGATTGCTTTCCATTATGGCTTCATGCATGAAGTGTTTTCTGCGTGCAGTGTGTGTTTTAATCTTGTTAGGTAACTGAATCATATGTAAAGCTAGTCCTTTTCCATACTGCTAATTCCTGTGACCTTTTGGAGAGGTTATAAGAGTTTCCCACCCTTCCTTGGAATGCACACAACCTCACGCACACTTTAATCCAAGAAGGAATTCAAGGAGTCTTCCCTTCAACTCCTGTATGGGCTAATCTAATTAGTCTACTGCGCAGAAGTAGCAGTCATGCTTTGGTTCTGTTATTTATCCATCTAAAGGTATACGCAATAGAACACAAAATGGCCTTGGAAACCAGTTTATAGAAACTATAAATCTGTATTGGCCCTCTTTCTCTCTTGTAGTCCACACAGAAACAGCTGAAGCAGCTCAGAGTTGTGCCCTCCATAGTATAGACTGTGATGAGCAGATATAAACATCACTGTCCAAATATAGCAGGGTTATGCGCATTGTGTTTGGTCAATCTTTGCCTCACACAGTGGAAGAATGGCAGTCTTCTCACCCATATGTGCTGTCCTAATCATACATGCACGAACATGTGGAATCTTCCAGGTCAAAGGTCAACTTTTTGCTTATAAAACTCAAAATAAGCAGATCACCTTCCACGGATATTGAAAACCTAGAAAAATAATTGGTTTAGGAAATGGAGCCGCCCCTCTGTTCCTCGAAGTTTCCGTTGAACCCATTCATCATTGTTGGTGTTCATTCAGTGAATCCTGTTTCTCAGAGCTAAAAATCTGAGCAGCTGCCAGAAGGGGGCATGTCCATGCTCTAGATGGCTTGCATTAAAGGGCTTTACACTACTAGCATTGCCATCTAGGCCAGTTCTAAATGTAGCATTAGGAATCAATTCAAAACCCAGCATTACTAATAAGTTAAGCTTGGAAGGTTAAACATTCACTAATAGCAGCTGAAATAAATGGGGACAAAATGCACATGATAGCTCTGTTTCAAAGCCTAGTGAGCTGCCCTGCTTTTTGCTGTCTACATAGGCAGCTAACTTCTAAGTAAGCATCCTAACCAATACAAAACCTAATAAGAGACCGTTTTTTATTAGGATAGGACAGTATTTAGGTAGGAAGCAAAGTGGGAGAGAGAGGGGGGCAGGGTCGTGAAAGGTCCACGAACCGGGACTCAAACTTGGGACGCCCAAAGCGCAATGGCGCTATATGTCGGCGCACTGCCCACGAGGCTATTGGCGCTGACTCAATCATTTTGATTTTAAACTGACCTAATGTCTTTTATGTATTTTACTTTTTATTGCATTGTTCAGTATAGTTGTGTGGTTGCTTACATTATCGTGTCTTCAGCAGACTGCTGAGGATGACACACAGCTGAAGCTGGACGTGAGATGTATAGAGGAGGAGAGGATCCAGGTCCTGAACAATATGGAAGAGTTAGAGCTGAAGATCAAAGACCTGGACAACCAGATGGAGGAGTCCATCAGAGAGGTACAGTAGACACATCAGGTCATGGAGGAAGTGGGAGAGATCGGGGATGGTGGGAGTAGTGAAGGGAGAGTGTTTGTGTGGGACAGTTGTGCATGTGGCAAAGTAATCAGGAGCTGTGATGAGGACCACGGCTAGACATGGAGGTCTGAACTGCCAAGAATATATCTGTTTTACTTTCTCTCACTTAAAGCCTCATATTCTCTGTTTTTCCCTTTAAACGATGCACTTCATTCCTGATTCGATTTCAATATTTTAATGCTCCTCCACTGTAATACATTTTCCCTTCCTGTCATCCTCATTTCTCCTTTTTGTTATTTTCTCTCCATAACAATCTACTGAGGTTAGGAGGCCTAGGTAAATTTAGCACATAAATAAAGAACATTTTAAAAATCTAAAGAACCATTTTTCATTATAAAGAACCTTTTGTGCAATGGAAAGGTTGCATGGAATTTAAAGGTTCTTCATGGAACCATAGATGGCTGTAAAGAATATTTTTAAGAGCTTAGCTGACATTTTTTTTTCTATCTGGACTACTTGATGATGGTGTCTTGATTCTTGCTAATTGCGTCTGTTCCATTGTTTTTCACCCTGTCAAGTTGGTTTTGAACATAAGAATGTATCCTATTTCTATGCCCTCTTACAGTAGACACTGCAAAGTTGTTCATGAAGTCCAAAGCACAAGAGAAAGCTATTGCTTAGTTGGCCTTAAAGCAGAAATTCCCATCTCTTGATTAATGTTACATAGGTTGGTTAGTCTTGAGCCAGCAGTTCCTGCTAAGTCAGCTATTCCATTAGAGCCCCATTCAGTAAACCCAGAATGTCAGTGTTGTGCTCTAGTTTTATGAGGTTGGGCTTTTATGGGTTTAGAACGTGGGCCTCTTTTTATTTGTGTGAAATGAGGCACCTTCTAGGTGGTCCATATCGTAGTGACATGACACCACTGTTTGCCACGAAATCATTGAAATTGTTGCAGTAGTTACTGTAAGTGACAGTGAACTTTAGATTGAGTCAAAAATGAAGTACACGTTTGTGTGTGTGTGTTTAGTTGGAAGTGGAGCGCGCTCTGTTGGAAGGCGAGCAGGATTCGGAGATGGCTCAGCTACAGCAGGAGAAAGACGCTCTGGAGCAACTGAAAGAGAAGATGGCTGACATTGAGAACAAAGCCCAGATGGAAAAATCTCAGGTATGTGCCATGATAAAGTCTGTATATCAGTGGGAGTACTTAACTATACCTGGTGACGCTATTAACTTAACTCAAATGCGCTCTCCTAAACTGTCCGTTCTTTTGGTGTGTACAGTAGTCATTCATTTTTAAGGATTTAGTTCATTCAGACAGTTCATATAATTATCAAAAGTGTACTATTTTATTTATACTACTGTTCAAAAGTTGGGGGCAGTAAGGTTTTTTTGTTTTCTTTTTAAAAAGATGAATACTTTTATTCAGCAAGGATGCATTTAATTGATCAAAAGTGAAATCTTTTGTAACATTATAAATGTCTTTACTATTTCAAATAAATTCTTTTGACCTTTCTTAATCAAAGAATCCTGAATAAAAGGTATTACCCTTTGCAGAAAAAAGAAGCACAACTGTTTTCAACACTGGTAATAATAAGAAATGTTTCTTGAGCAGCAAATCAGCATATTAGAATGATTTCTAAAGGATCATGTGACACTGAAGACTGGAGTGATGATGCTGAAATTGCCATCACAGGAATAAATCAATTAAAAATGTTAAAATAGAAAACTGTTTAAATGGTAATAATATTTTACAATATTACTGTTTTACCAAATAAATGCAGCCATTGTATGCATAAGTAACTTCTTTTAAAGAAAATTGTGAACAAAATGCAACCACAAACTTCAATATACCAAAATGAATTACTTATTTAAGGTCCAATGTGTAGTCCTTGTGTGGTATTTTGTAGCCAATTGCTGTTGTGCATCATTGGTTTTGAGTCTGTTAAAGAATTTAGCATGTTTCATTATAAATTTTTATTGTAGATTTATGTTACCCTAATTGAGATTATTGTTGGGTTTTGTGCCTGATAAATGTAGTTAACTTGTATTATCAGATGGAAATGTATTTAAAGGGGTCATATGATGTTGCTAAAAAGAACATTATTTTGTGTATTTGGTGTAATGAAATGTGTTTATGCGGTTTAAGGTTCAAAAAACACATTATTTTCCACATACTTTACATTATTGTTTCTCCTCTATGCCCCGCCTTTCTGAAACGCGTAGATTTTTACAAAGCTCATCGGTCTGAAAAGCGAGGGGTGCTCTGATTGGCCAGCTATCCAGTGCGTTGTGATTGGCCGAATTCCTCAAGCGTGTGACGGAAATGTTACGCCCCTTACCAGATTGTGATGCTTTATGCACCAAGAGCTTGTAACACTCCAAAGAGAAAGGAAAAATTGAAATCGCATCATATGACCCTTTTAAAGGGATAGTTCACCCAAAAATGAAAAATTGTCATTAATTACTTGCCCGGTTGTTCCAAAACCATAAGACCTTCGTTCATCTTCAGAACACAAATGAAGATATTTTTGATGAAATCTGAGAGCTCTCTGACCCTCCATAGACAACAACGCAACTGACACCTTCAAGCCCAGAAACATAGTAAGGAAATTATTAAAATAGTCCATGTGACATCAACCATAATTTTACACGAAAGAGAATAAATTGATGCATAAAGTCATTATTTGTGTTTTCTTTGCGCACATAGCTTCATAAAATTAATGTTGAACCACTGATGTTCCAAAGAACACAATTGGGTTTGGGTTTTTACAGGTTTGGAACGACATGAGGGTGAGTAATTAATGGCAGAATTTTCATTTTTGGGTGAACTATCCCTTTAAAGGACATTGCCCCCATAAATAGCTTTTAGTGCAGTTGGCTACTTTTGCTTCTAGTGTTGCTAATGACTTTTTAAAAAGCTAGCTTTATTTAGTTATGCTAAGCTATAATTTCAAAGTATCTCTACCAGCACCTTTGTATACAGAATGTTAAGTTTACAATACATATTATTACTTTTGAAATATGAATTATAGAGCCTTAGATTAATTTGCATTTCTCATACATACACACACACACACACACTTCCTGGCAGCCTCTCAGTCCATGTCACAGTTGGTAATCCCGGCTCTGCTCTAAATACACCTCTGCTAAACCTAGTGACACCACACACTGTGTTGATGCAGGGGGTTTCTAACCCAAGAGCTGGTGGAAATCCTGGCACCTGCGTCTCAAGTTCAGCCTGACTTCCGGCTCATTCATTCATTTAGCCTGGCAGCTGCGGAGACACTTGAGATACAAACCCTTTAGCTGACGGTCCATTTCTGACGCACTAACTCTTAAAGTGGACGGTTGATTTGTTCACTTATTAAATTTCATTGCAATTAGGATGCTGCCTATGTAGGCAGTAGAACAAGAAAGCTTGCTAGGTTTTGGAACCGATCAAGTGAATGCGATATTAATGCGTTTTGTTTCTTGACAACCATAATCCACCTACAGTTGCATAATATTACTTGATGCAAGAATTGCTTTTATGATTATTAGTCGGATTTTAGTTATTGAACATTGGTGTCTGTTGTCAAATTGCTGTTGCCGCCACTTGAGGCCATTCTTTGCAGTGTTGTTAACATGCAAAGTGGCCACTTGTTAATTTCAGTTCAGTTCGAACCGATTGCTGAGGTATTTTTTTCAGTTTCTTGAGTGTTGATAACGTCCGCTATCATTTTCCTGCATTTTCATGTTCATTTAATTCAACACCTCCACATCCATCATGCCTCACTTGTGCTGTTACTGACTGTGTAGTAACTAACCCTGCCCACCCCACCTGCCCCGGCACTAACCCTTCTCTCCTCTCTCCCTGCATCCTATACACGTACGTGCAGGACAAAGCCAAGCTAGATGCGGAGCGTGTAAAGTTAGAGCGACTGGCGCATCTGCTTGCAGAGCAGAAGACTCAGTTGGACACCTGCCCCGAAGCCTTGAAAGAGCAACTTCAGCTGCAGCTCTGCAGGGTCAGTACTCACACACAGCCTTCATCCGCCTCTTCCTCATAACCGGGTCCTTGTCCTCTTCATCCCTAGTGCTTGCAACTGTCTCACCTCCATGAAAGACATTTCGGCTGGCTTTCTTCTCTTATATCGCATGCGCTTCCTGTATGTCTGTAATGTACTGCATAATGTTTTTGAATAATTAAAAAAAATTATATAATCAAAATATTGCTCCTGGCACTGATGGGTCATATTTGATTCTCCAAAATCAAAAGTCTATATTAGTATATATTAATGATCATGATTTTTTTTTTTTTTTCTTTTTTTTTAAATTTTTCTTTCTTTTTTTTTTGCATTACAATATTGACAAATTTTAGTGGGGAGGGGTGCTTAAGTGTCATAAAAATAATGTTATAATAAGATCAATTTGATTTTACATTTTTAATAAAATTTTAATTAAAATTAATTAATAGTAATTTTAAAGGGGTCCTATTATGCTTTTTCACTTTTTTAATTTTAGTCAGTGTATATGTTTGGGCATAAAAAAGATCTAGAAAGTTACAAATCTAACCACCAAGCATGAGAGCATGTTCTTGTACACCCCCAAAACAAAATCAAGACTTTGTAAAAGAGCATAATAGGACCCCTTTAAGTTTTTGTGCATTTGCAAATATTAAGAACATCCCCCCCACCAAATTTACATTACTATAATCCGAAAAAATCTCATCCTCATTATTGTAACGCATTGTAATTATTATTTATGTTATTATTGTTATTTTAGCATCATTGAGATTTATAGTTTAATATTTGGAATTAGTATTTTCCATTTTCATTTTATCTTTATCATTTTATTAGTTTAGTATGTTGATATAGTTTGTGTAAAATTTAGTGCTGTCAAACGATTAATCGCATCCAAAATAAGTTTTTGCTTACATGATATATATATATATTTACATTCATATAACTTCTATTATATATGCATATATTTAATATATAAACATAACATATTTTTCTTAAATGTATATATGCAAGCGTGTATATTTATATATACATAAGTATACACAGTACACACGCATATTATGTGAACAAAAACTTATTTTGGATGCGATTAATCGTTTGACAGCACTAGTAAAATTGTATTTTAGTTTTAGTAAATCAAGTTAACTACAACCAGCTGTAATATGTTTTTTATATTTTATTTAGATATAAATGTGATATTGACAAAAAAATATTTTTATTAAATTATTCTAAATATTTTACAATACAATTTTTCTTCAGATTCATCTAAATTCTCAGAATTTAATTCTTTAATAAAATGTAGTGTTTTCTGAATTTCTATATTTATTTTAATATATATTAGTGATCATGATTATTATTTTTTTCTTAATTTTTTTTTCTTTCTTTTTTTTCGTGGGGGGAGGGGTGCTTAATTGTCATGAAAATAATGTCACAATGTTAAAAATCTACAAATATAATTTCTTATTTCTTTGTCCCATGTCTCATTCATACGTTTCATGGGATTCACCCTGATAGGCTGGTTGGTACACAATCCCTGATAGTGACCACATGAGATGTTAATTAAGTTATTGGAAAGAACTAGGTTATTTAAAGCTGGCAGGCCTTGAATGAAAGTGTGGCATACAGTAGCTGTTTCAGTGATGACGTGGAATGGCTGCAAAGTTTCTTTATGTCGCAGAAGGTCATGTTATGTGAGTGTTGACGTGATTGATCTCTAAAGGTCAGTGGTGATGGGTGAAAGTTGTGGCTGGTCCTCTGTTCACTGGCATGTCGCGGCGCATGTTTATAGCGGTTATTGGCCTGCTTCCAGCAGAGTGAAACCTTAACCCCTGTCTCCGTCCCTGGGGAGGCTGCTGGAGCAGAGGGGATTTGGTGTGAACTGTTGTTGGTTTCTTTGAGGCTTGTTGAACTGTGGGAGTATTACGACTTCATTTCCTTTACACTTTGAAGATATAGATCTAGACCATCATGTTTTTGTGTATCAGGATGCAGAGACGCTTGAGGTGGAGACCAAGCGGTTTGAAGACCTAGAGTTTCAACAGCTGGAACGAGAGAGTCGTCAGGATGAGGAGAAAGAGACTCAGACCCAACATATTCTCAGGGAGATCGCAGAACACCAGAGGAGCACCGTCACACGGAAGGTGAGTTTCCTGTTGGTGCCTTCAAGTCATCCTGGCAAGTTCTTATGAGTAAGAACTTTATGTGCATTTAAATGATTTGATGGACGGAAAGAGAAAAGGCTTTTATATAAGGCTTATATAAAGACCAAATTAACCAATACTAGTTAGCTTCTACAGTGTTTTTCTATTTGGCTCGTCTCCAAAGTTGAGGCTCAAAGAAAATCTGTAAATATGATCATTCCAACACATTGATATGTGTGACACCTTTAGGAGAGGCTGCTGGCCCTGAAGAAACAGTACACCCAGATTTCCCAGCAGGCTCAGAGGGACAAAGACAACTTTGTGAAGGAAAAGAACAATCTTCAGATGATGCTGCAGCGGGTATGTCTGTGTAATATTACTAGAAATCCATGCTACACTGCCTTTTTTGCACCCTTCATTGAAAGTCGTTATTAGTGCTTCTGAATCATGACAGACTTTTTCCGTTTTTTCCAGGAAAAGGAGAATCTTGTCAACTTGGAGAAGAAATATTCTGAGCTCACTGGGGCATTGGGTTTCCCTGTCAGTCCCATCAGTATGAAGGAGGTACGTCTGACAGGATGTGCGTTCTATGTGAATAGAGCAAACCTTCTCTTGACATCCTCTCTTGGACTGCACATGTGTTTTGGGCCTGAGTACTTCAACCATGTGTGGCTGCCCCAAAAGGTTACTATAACACCATGAATGGATCTACAGTAAATAAGGAAGTATTCACTATGATCGCTTTTCGCCCATGCCCTCATCACGACTCTTGCAACCTGGAAATCTTTAGTTGCAGAGGGTTGTTTGTGTTTCCTCACCGTGGAAACAGGGTCTTTTCCCCTGTATTCCAGGATTGCTTCCAGTTGGCCGACGTGTGTCCACCTCATAGTGAATTTTGCCATGCCCATAAAACCCTGTCTCCACTTCCTGCTGACCTGCTGATGTTTTCTTCTCTTCTTTCCTCTCTGACTATCAAAAATGCTGAGGTAACGCACTAGCAGTGTGCGTGCAAGATAATGTTTGTTGCTTGTTTGCTGCTTTCCGAAATACCTCCTAACATGCCGCTTCTCTGGGTAATTAAATTTATAATGCTCTTAAAATAACCTCTAATTATTTACTCTTTTACTGGTTTATCAGTGCTTCAAATTCCTTGGAGGTTTTTGTTTAGATCCCTTAAACATTAACTGAATTGTTTATTTATTTCATAAAAAAAATTAACTTTTATTTTTATTTGACTAATTCATCTGTTATTTATTTTTTAATGTCATTTTTTATTTCATTACATTTTAATATTTTTTTAGTATTTAATGATTATTTAATCATATTTTTTATTTTAATGATTCACGTTTTTTTATTTCATTTTTTAAAATCTTTTTTTTTATTTCATTTTATTTTAAAATGTATTCATTTATTTATCTTTCCCAAATTTGTGATTCATCTGTTATTAATATGCTTGTCATTAATCATTTTAACCTACTTGAATGTATGTTTTTTCCTATTCGCCCCTCTTCCCCACATTTTCCGAATGGTTTGTTCCAGGGCTATGTTACAGTCAATGAGATCAATGAACTGTACTCTCAGCTGGGGGTAGATCCCACCCCAGCCCCCCTCCCCACCCAAGCCCAGTCCTCTCCTGACGGCCCTGCCACAGGGACTGACCCCAGCCCTGAACCCAGTCCTGCGGAGAGCACTGCCCCGCCAGGAGAGGGTGAGGTGTGTGATCAGGATGGTTTATGTGTGTTAGGAATTAAGCGTGTCCAGGATTTAGTTTGGATTTAGTGTGCACACGCCAAGTATTGGAAAGTGAGTAAAGGCCATGTTACATGTTCACTGTGGGATTTTAAGGTATTTGTATTGTGTGAATTATTTATTTGATTCCCTTTCTCGGTTTCTTTTTAAATTAAAGAGGTCATATCAAATATAATAATGTTAATAATAATAATAATAATTATTTATTTTAATTATATTTAATTTATTTGATTTCCCTTTCTCTTAGATTTGTTTTCAATTAGATGTCATATTATTCTACTATATAATAATAATAATACTATATATAATAATTATTATTATTATTATATAATTAAATATATTACTAATAATATAATCATTTATAAAAATGTACATTTTATAACTTTTTATAAATTAATATTGATTATATTATAATTTTATTCAGTTTCTCTTAGATTGTTTTATTTAAGAGGTCATATCATACTGCTATATTATAATAATAATAATAATGTTGTTGTTGTTAGTTATCATTATTATTATTCGTCCAGATTTCTGGACAAAATATTTTTGCAACTTTTAATTCATAATTCATTTTGCCCTTTTAGCGTAAAACATCAAAGCAAATTTAAAAAAAAATGTATGATGTGTCCTCTTTAAGCAAACTATAGCCCACCTTCTTCTCGCATCCTTATTTTCTGATTTTCTCTTTTCCAAAGCACTCTTCCTGTCCACTGTTCGTCCTCCATCCCTTCTTCCTCTTTCACTGCATGTTCTCGTCCCAATTCTAAACCTCCCTCTGTGCACTGGCCTGAAGACGTGGTCACCTTCCTCAACCCTTCTCCTCCTCCTCCTCCTCTACCTGCCAAAAAACAGCGCTGTCACAGACAGGTAAACCTTGCGAGTATGTATATATGAGTGCAATTATTAGAGACATTTCTTACCTTTAACCTTCTGTTCCTCAGCATTTCCGCACCCTAGAAGAAAGGAAGCGGTACGGTAAGGGAGGCGGAGCTCATTTGAGTGACACTCTTCCTCGGAAGAAGACCCAGCCCACCATAACCCCACAGTTCACCTGTGCCACACTTGGTCGTAACATACCCTCTAAAGTAAGAATACATTATACGTTTACATATTTAGAAGTCACTAATTTGCATTATTATTTATTGCATTTATATAGAGTTTGTTATAGTCTTAAATGTACAGTTGCCAAAAACATCCTGTTCAATGCCAAGGACCAAATAAATAAAATATGGTCATGATAATCTAGATATGCACTGGATGATTTTTTTACTATGTATTCACTATTTTGTTTGCATTTATTAAATTTAACCAAAATCTGTGATTGTCACAATGATATTACTCATAATAAAAATATATTAATTTTTTTTTTTATAATTAAAAAAATATTAAATATTATTTGGCCCTTATGTTTCCCAAAGACTATCCGGTTTTGTAATAGCTTATGTAGTAACTTAAGTTCCTGGCATACTTTACAATGTTTTATTAAATGTATATCTGTAAATGTTGCTGTTTATTATTATTTTGAATTGTTTTGGTGAATTTAAGTAAAATTAATTATAAATAATTATTCCTTGTTCATTTAGTTGAAGTTAAAATCTAAAAATATTTTACTCATTTGCGCAAATATTTTACGCAAATATTATCTTCTTGGTTAATACAATATAATATAATATAACTAAAAAATGGAAAACATCCAGATATTTGTAACTATACACTACTGTAGATTTTTTTTATTTAAATTAATACATTTAATTAGCAAGGATGCCTTAAATTATTCAAGTGACAAAAACATTTATAATTTTACAAAATGTTACATTTATAATTTTCAAAAAACATCCTCCTGAACTCAAATTTTTGAATGATACTGTATGTATGAAATAAAAACTCACTCTCACATCACCCCCTGTGTTTAGTCCCATCCCCCTTTAGCTCAAAGCTCCAGCTGTGGGAGTGTGTTGAACCGAGCCCTTGCCATCTCCCCTAAAGAGACACACATGGATACACACCGCCTGCACAAGGGTAGGGCTCTCCACCTCAAACACACTGTTTAAAATATACAGTGTTATTATGTTGCATTACATCATACATCACACATCAAAAGTGAAACGTTACCTAATCTTGAATTACTTTCTCTATCCTGCAGGCAAATCTAAGAAAGGTACAGTAGTCTGCCTACAGTAGTCTCGATTGCCTGTTATATAATTTCTATTCAAATAATGTCAAAGTCTCTTAGCCTGTCCTCTCTGGCGAAGAATGTCCTCCTTTGGGAGACATTCATTGCCTTGGTCATTGGCTGATATCAACCCAACTCATTGCTTTTAATGTGTCTGGTCTCACTGAAATGGAGAAACCTGTAGCGTTTCTTCAATTTCATGCACTGTTTGACTCACCAGGGCCTTTTATGGGTCTTATTGGACAAGGTTGAATCTTGTATGAAATAAAGCTGCTATTTTATACACATTACAAAGGCATGAGATTCTAGTAATTCAGTCCTGCATGATGAGGTCTGTCTGTAGTCATTTGTTTTTGTTTTATTTCTATTCATAGACTTTAAGGTGCCCCTATTATGCCATTTCCAATATTGCCTTTCATGCAGAGTGTAATGTAGCTGTATGTGAATGTAAACGATCTGCAAAGTTGTAAACCTGAAAGTGCACGATAAATAAAGTTATTGTCTCCCAAAATAAAGAATCGACTCTGTACAGCTGAAACGAGTTGTTAGTAATTTGAATCCCACTTCCGTGACGGCTACATATTTGCATGATGCGCGCCTATGTTCTACGTTGGCCAGCCGTGAACAACTTGACCCCGCCCACAAACACGTCATTCTACTGACGACTGCTTCTTTAATCTCGGGGAGTTCGACGCGAGATTCACAAAACACTTGCTGTTGAAAGATGGATCAGTATCCTGTTTATTTGGACCAGCTGCTCCACTGAATCACAACCTGTAAGTATGATAATAGATGTTTATATTTTCTACAGAGCATTCAAAATACAGAACTATTGAAATAGGCGCATCGTTTCTGACACCGCTGTATGCCGTAGACCAATCACAACAGACTAGGGCATCTGACCAATCAGAGCAGAGTAGGCTCACGGAAAGGAGGGGTTTAGAGAGACTGAATCTTTGAACTGCTTCGAACGAATCATTTGAGAATCGCTGGAAAATGAGGTGATATTAAATGCATATTTTGAGACAACGAAAGCGTTTTTTGACCTTGCATGCATGTAATCCTATTGTAGGAGACTCCCAAAACAATATTAGGAACCGTAAAAATGGCATAATAGGGGCACTTTAATTATTATGTCACACTGCTGTTTATGGTCTAGAGCAGTGTTTCTCAACCAGGGGTCCGTGGACCCCTAGAGGTCCTTGACATAAGGCCAGGGGGTCCGTATAAAGTATGAATTTTTGTATAAATTTTGTATATTTTGGCATGACATGTTCCCATGAAAGAAAAATCCAATATAGCTGATAATATGGCCAAATACTGGACAAGTCAGCTAACTTGAATTATACTTGACTGCATTTGGTCCTCACAAAGACACAAATGATATGAGTCAATTTTGTTCTGGGGGTCCTTGAGGATGGTTCTGAATTGGACTGGGGTCCGATACGCCAAACGGTTGAGATTCACTGGTCTAGAGAGCTGATGGTGGGTGTTTATGGGTATTCTGACAGGAATGAGGCATGGCTTCTATAAAATTCCTCTGCAGAATATACAAAGTTTAGGTGCAGTCAGGTGCAAAATCTTTCACCCTTAAGTGAATTTCCCTATCGCATAGATTTCTATTCAAACACCTGCAAAAATTTTCAGAACAGCGGCAACTGTGACCTCACCTTTCTTGAAATGAAAAAATTTCATTACCCAGCATGCAACAACACCATGGTCACTCATGGTCTTAGCAGTTATTTGTGTAGTAACTCTGTAACCATTGCCACATTAAGGCTCTGGGACGTCAAAACAAGCCAATCAAGACCAATTAAAGTGAGTCTCCTTACAAGGACTTGATGTCCTCCAATAGGAAGCGTTTGTTCCATCTGGGTGGAAACTTTCTGCGTTTATTTATTTGTTTTGTGAAGATAGTGGAAGAATGTTGGGATGATGAAGGACAGGAAATGCTTCCGTTCTATTTTTCAAACAAATATCTGACCTGATGGGTTTATTTGTGAACTTTTTCTTTTTAATTCCCCAGCCTTGATTGTTAAATCACTAAAGCTTTTTTGAATATGTGCGCATTATGAGTTTACTGTTGTAGATGAAAAGCTTGACTGTATTGTCGGATGGTTTATCTGAAGGTCCCTTGGGTCGGATCATCAGAGAGGCGGGTCTCTGCTTTTTCTCGATGTGGTTGATGTTATCAAGGTTGTAGTGGAGTCAAGTCTCATATCCTCTGAACTAATTCTAGCAGTACTAGTTGTTCTAGCTACAAGTTAAACAGTGTATCTTCGGGAGACAGCATCTTTATCGATATTAAGCTCAAATATATGAATCCATCTTTTTGTTCTGGACTTGTAGCTGAAGAGGGCATCATTAGGGGCTTGGGATCCAATCTATGAATCAGAGTAAGGTATTTTCTTACATACACTGCCATTCAAAAGTTTGGGGTCAGTAAGATTTTGTGTTTTTGAAAGTTTCTTATGCTCACCTAAGCTACATTTATTTGATCAAAAACACAGGAAAATAGTGAAATTATTAAAATTGTAAATGTTAAAATGTTTAAACTGTTTTTATTTTAATAGATTTTAAAATGTAATTTATTCCTGTGATGGCGAAGCTGAATTTTCTGCATCATTATTCCAGTCTTCAGTGTCAGAATGATGGAAATCATTCTAATAGGCTAATTTGGTGCTCATGAAACATTTCTTATTATCATTATTGATAGCATTTTTGTGGAAACTGTGATACGACTGACAAATATAAAATTCAAAAGAACAGCATTTATTTGAAATATAAACTTTTTTAATATTATAAATGTCCTTACTGTCACTTTCAAACAATTTAATGTATCCTTGTTGAATAAAAGTATTCATTTCTTTTTTTAAATCTTACCCCAAACTTTTGAACAGCAGTGCGTGTTGTCAGGACATTATTGCACAGTGGCTGGTCTTTGTGAGCACAGTAAAGGGCCCCAGGGTGCCCCGGGCAGTGCCTGGCCAGAGGAAACTGAGCTGGGCAGCAGGAATGGAGAATCTGCTCCTGGGAGTGATGCTGCACTCTCAGGTAAAGCTGAGATAGCCCTGAAAACAGGAAGGATAAGTCATGTGGTGTTATTTCATAGTGTTCATTATTGCTAAATTCATGTTTTCTTTGATTGGTTGGCATGTTTCTCAGGGCACAGTCAGCAGCACATTTTTTTTGTCTTCTGTCTTGTGTCTGTGTCTGACAAACCTTTGTTTGGCCTCTGGGGATTTTTGGAAAAGCTATTTATATAGTGTGTATATATATAAACTTCCTTTTAGAAGTTTCAGTATGCTTTTTTTTTTTTATGAATTTTG